CTTTAGAACTATAACAAAGGAGAGGAGTCACTTAAATGTAAACATTCACTTTCTCTCCACTATTTGTGGTGTGCAGAAAACTGTATCCCATTTAAAATCAACTTTTTTCAGTAAATTTTTCAGGATAGTCAATTTTTTGCTACCTCCTTGTTCTTAGAGACAAACACCTGAGTCATGGACAGCTAACACGTGCCTCCTTTTTGAGCAAGTTTCTCAAACTTTCAGCTTCAGCACAGTTGCTGTAGGGCCATCCCTCATTTTCAGTTGTTTCCAAAGAAAACAAAGTGGCACATGACTTACAAGGAGGCATTTCTTATCCATCCATCCATGAGGCTAAATGCTCGACACTTCACATTCTCTGGTAGTCTAATGGTTCCATCAGTTTTGTCATTGCTTTTCTTTTTCTTGGGAAAATATGTCATCACTGCACCAGCTACATATTCATCCCATTCATGACAGCATAAGACAACAACCATGATTCTCCTAGTATCCTTATTGGAAGTGGACATGGAGACTCCATAGTGCTTGACTGAGCCCTGACCTGCCTGAGAGATGCAGATTGCGGAGGAGAAACATTTGGTAGGATTTGGCATCATCCCTCATGTACAAGATGAGTTGTTGTAGTGTGGATTTTATGCCCTTTTCATCCTCATGTCCAGTTAGATGAACAATCTACAGGCAAGAAAAGCTTAAGCTGTTATTATCCCCACGAATCCAAATATTTACTGAGTCATAAATGTCATTCTCACAAACCATTACTGTTGAGTAGATACATTTTTCCCCAAAACTTTTTTTTTTTTTAATATATATTCAAGGGACAGGAACCTGCTTTGGATGTTATCGCTCCATAAATGTTGGACTTTTAACTGTATTTCATAAGTTTTACAGCTCCCTTATGGCTACTTTTTATCAGTAGCCATAAGGGAGCTACTGATAAAAAGCTCCCTTATGGCTATTTATACTACGGTACGCAAAGTAATTAAGCAATAAATTATTAAATGATGGAAAAGTTTCTGTTTTTCATGGATTTCTGAGTGTTTAGTTCTGTGTTTACGTCTCTGTAAATATGTATATTTCTTTTCTTCACTTCATCTGCCTGAAGAAATTACAAATAAAACGACACCTTAGAAAATTACACATCTCAGTGACAACAGAAACCGTAATGTCGAAATTCAATATGAAGATATACATTTAAAAACAAAATGAAAAGGGAAACTGCTCAAATGATGCTACTCACCATTTTTTAAATGGACAGGAAAGGCCCTCCTCTTTAGTCAAAGCACTCTAACTGGCTTCTTTGTTGTCCTCTGCCTTACCATCGAGAGTCCCAAGGTGCATTGGAACAATGGCATCAGGCCCCAAAGGCAATGTTACGCAAGTACTGCCTAGAAGATGAAAGGAGTTGTGCGGTTTGCTGTTCGTGAAACTGTTCAGGAGTCACTCTTTTAGTCCAGCTGAACTAGTATTTGGCCACACACCTCGGGGGGGCCACTCAAAGTTCAGAAAGAGAAAATTTTGATTCCTGAAGAGAGCACCAAAACAAATGTGACAAAGTATGTGCAAAGCTTTCATGAAAATTTAAGTCAGGCCAACAACTCTAAAAAAACAACTCTCAACTCCACAGCAGAATATGAAATACAATTATGATAAAACTTCTGTTAAGAGAGATATTCAAGTAGATGACCAAGTGCTTGCTCTCTTACCTGTTTCAGGCTCAGCCTTGTCTGCAAAGTGATTATGTAATCTGTACCCCTAATCGTAGACGCAAGTTGCGTGTCTGCCATATAAACATGCTAAAGTTGTACCACTAGTGGCCTGCACTAGAACTGAATGGTATGTGTTCTCCTATTGCAGCATTGAGTAAACTAGGGGTGGAGGGTGTACTGTAGACGATGCTGATTGAAGATAATTTAACCCATCTGTTCTAGCCCGCGTCTTGCAAACTCAGAGAACTGAAAAATAACAGTGGCATTTACTACAAACGACTAATAGACAAAAACAACTTAAAACAAATCAAAATTAGCCTCACGGGCTGTAGCACAACTAATATTTCTTGAGAATATCAGTTTAGACAAGGTTTCGCAAAAAGCTCACAGACAGAAGCATACAGGGCAATCTGCACAGTCAGTCCAAAACAGCAGCCCCTGAATAAATGTTCTTCAGCCTTTTAAAGATGCAGGTGTGCCCAATCAGTCACTGGTCCGATAGACTTTCACTGGAGGTAACCATAGGTTCAAACAGCCAGTTGTCTGTGTGGGTTGCCACACTCGAATCTGCTTGAAAGAAGGCTGGCTCACTTCTTCCAAGGTCAGGGGCCATAACAACCCTTTGTAATATTTTCATACTGTTCATCTTGTCATATTATGCTGCTATTCATACTGTCATTATATTAATGCTGCTATCCTGTATATATTGTACATACTATTGTTTGAGTACTTACGATTGTTTTTTTGTACTTTTTATATTTTACATTTATATTTATTATTGAAACTTGCACCAAGGGAGTGGCACTCCAATTTCGTTGTACTCTGTACAATGACAATAAAGGCTATTCTATTTAACTTTTAACATGCTGAGATGTAGCTCTTCAGTGTTTTGCAGTTTCTGAGGTTTGCACAGTCTGACCTTTTTCTAGTGAATTTTCAGGGATTCTGTTAACTAGAATGCTCCATACCTCCTTTTATAGAGGGAGTCACCATTACTGATGATCATTGAATCAGGTGCATATGATTTACACTCTTAGGTGTGCTTAGTTTTTCACACACTGCTTTGGCTTATTTTTTTGCTGAATAATTAATGACAGATGTAAAACGTAATGTGTAGTAATTCATGTTGGATTCACTAATTTGAAGAACTACTATGGGCCAGAATTATTGGTATCTATACTAAGACGCACCACTTTAATCTGTACTTTAAAAATAAATAATTAGGCAGCACGGTGGCACGGTGGTTAGCACTGTTGCCGCACAGCAAGAAGGTCCTGAGTTCAATTCCAACCATCAGGCCGGGGTCTTTCTGTGTGGAGTTTGCATGTTCTCCCCGTGTTTGCGTGGGTTCTCTCCGGGTACTCCGGCTTCCTCCCACCGTCCAAAGACATGCAGCTTGTGGGGATAGGTTAATTGATAATCCAAATTGTCACTAGGTGTGAATGTGCGAATGAATGTGAGTGTGAATGGTTGTCTGTCCCTGTGTGTTGGCCCTGCGACAGACTGGCGACCTGTCCAGGGTGTACCCCGCCTCTCGCCCTATGACAGCTGGGATAGGCTCCAGCGCCCCCCGCGACCCTGAAAAAGGATAAGCGGAAGCGAATGGATGGATGGATGGAAGTTTAAAAAATAAATAAATAAATTAATAATAATAAAAATTAATTAATTAATAATAATAATAACAGTTTGACTGGGTGTATCCCATTTTTGTCTTACTAGCCAGCAGTGTACAGCAGAGCACATTTTCATGAATGAAATATAAGAACCTCAGTCAAGATTTTGTTTTCCTGAAAATTTTTATTCATCTTCTGGCATGGAAAAAACAATTTAACTGCAATATTGTTTATGAACTTATTTTTCATGGAATTGCAAACATGTCCACTCAGTTGGACTCCATGAATTTGAGTCCAAAAGAAAATAACAGAAAGTTACATATTGCGTGGAAAGTGTAAAAAAAAAACAAAAAAACGTTTTGATGCTGTAAATCTGTTTTCTCACATTTGAACTTATTCTAATACTCTTCAGAGAACTGAACCAGCTCTTGACCTGTGACCTGTGGACTTTCTAGGATGAAGTCCTGCCTGTGATGACCAGCACATTCTTGATCATGGATGTCTGACATGTGACATGACCATATCCCAGGAAAATTTTAAGTTCTTCTGTTTTCTGGTTTAGTTTTTCTTCTCCATTTTGGAACGTATACAGGTTTCTGGCAGTCCTTCATCAGCACTGACTCACATGACTCAGATTGTAAATGCTCCACTATCCTGAAGGCCATCACAATCTAAAGCGGAGTTGCTGTTCTCTGTAGGAACCCCTAATCATGACAGGGTTAAATAAAACAAAATCAACAGCCTTTAAGTATCTGATTGCGTTTCATGAAGTCCAGTAATCTGGGCTTTCTTGTTGCCACAAGTTTTTATGCTCTTCATCCAACTTCCTCCCCGCAGGGCTCTTCCACACTTGTTCCCAGTCCTTCTTGGTCTAAACGCAGACAAAAAAACCAAAGAAACCAAAGACAAGAAAGTTTAAAGAGTAATGCGGATAATCAACCATGAAAGCTTGTTTATTGCCAGCAAACAAATGTAATTTCTCACTATATTTTTAAAAGCCTCCCCCTTGCAGTAGGTTTTGGATGCTGGATACTCCATTCCCTCATCGAATAGCTGTTTGAAGCTTGAAGCCACCAGATGAAGCTCCTCTTCATCATAGGCGTACACCTGTTGGTCCTCAAAGGTCATCAGAATGAGCTGGTCACATGGACATGAGATGCCCTCCACCATGGCAACAACTTGCATGTTTACAGTCTTTGGAAGGTAGAAGTTATCCCAGCCATTCACATCAGCAGTGTAATCTTTGTAAACGGTGTCCTCAAGCCCTGCTTTCCTCAAAATTGCACCAGCTGGCTTCTTTAAGGGGAAATGCTTGGCTTTATTTGCAGATTCAAAATGTGAAACCTCTCCCAGGGAGTCCTCATCTGCAAAACAAGGCAGACATTTGAAAGGTGTTTGAAAGACGAAAAATGCATTATGACTTGTTTTTAATGAAACTAACATGATTGTAGCATACCTTTCCTTCTTTTGGGTGGAGGGAAATGAGACACATTAGACTGTCCCAAACTAAGACAGAAAAGATAATGATTTTAACAGAGTTTATGACAACAGCCTTCCCTTTACCACAGTCCTCAGTCAGTCTGTGAGCCTCACTATACAGAGCTTAATGCCAAAGTAATGACATTTCATGTCTGTCCTCTTGAAGTCACGGCACGACAGTAATTTGGTATGTCTTCAACAGCTTTGAGCTTGGGTGTAGAAGCTGCTGCCTCTGCACTGAAACATCAACCATCCTGGGTCCGTACATCCTGTGTGGCAGTTTGGTTTAAGGCTTCAGTCTGCAGTCATTCACACATCTGAGAGTGAGTCGGGTGCTTATCCTCGGTCACACCATGTTTGTCACTGTGTGTAAATATTATTGCGTTATACAGATGTGATGTTGAGAATTACTCATTTCATTCTACCTCTTTAGCCCACTTCTTCTCTCCTTTCAATTTTCTTCCTGTGGACACGTGGGCTGTCTTCAACTCCTTCCAGCTCTTCATGGTATACAAGAGGTTTTATTGTCCCTGGCAGCCGCTGAAAACTGCTCAGCATCTTCTTTGATTTATGTCCTTCAAATCCAAAACCTTGACTTCTGTCTAAAACTTTATCATCTTTACTTTATTTAACCAGTTAATGCCAAATCTTCTTTTAACATTGTTTAAGAAGAGTTTTTCATAACTCTGATCTCTCATGTTACTCAGATTTTAAACCCCAACATTTATCATCTGTAATTTATCAAAATAAAAGCCTAAAAAATGTTTACACTTTCAGCAGGAGAGACAAATAAAAAACTGTGCTGGGCGGTGCCAAACCGAGGTATAAAACTATTTACACGACTCACTAGAACAAAACTTAGTAAGAATAAAGAGTGGGGAAACTGGTTCTTACGCGCTGTCAAGCAATCTGTCTGTTGCCATTCTAATTCTCCCTCACCTACAAAATGAAATTTGAATCATTAGAATGAAATTTCAATTAATATTTCAAACCTTTATTGATTCACTGACACATGAATAAAATACAATAGGATAAAATAATTTTTCACATTTTGCTCACAGCAGTGACAATAACAGCCAGTAAACTGGAGCTCATTACTTTTTTTTTGTGTGTGACTGCACCACACTGGCACAAAGCCTTCAGATTACAAAAACTAAAACAAACAGTAAACTAAGTTTAACAGTGGAAACAGCAAAAATCCTACATTAATAATAATCAAGTCATGTTTTCTGAGAACATTAGCGAAGCATAGACACCCTTTTTTGTTATTGTTAATTTTAATAATAAAACTGGATAATTTGGATAATTTGTTGCATTTTTTTTTTGGTCTGTCCTTTGTTCACATCACTCACGTCAAGCATGCTGTGCAACAATGAGCAACGAGGCAGGCGTCAAACAAAGGGGGCGTGTCCAAATGAAGCCCGCGTCGTTCTTCAGAGAACCAAACAAGCTGTTGAACGGGGCTACGTGTGATCTGCGTTTAATAAAGTAACTGGCCGGAAATATTCGACACATTCACGCAGCTTCATCACGCCATCATCACTAAATACGAAGTGATGACGGCGTGGCGTGGGTAAGCTGGGAGTTTTAATCATCTTTCTGGTTTTTTAGAACTGTTACTTAATATTTTTAACACACACGGCCACGTCAACGTGAAATAAATATTGTGGCGAGCTCAGACAAGGATGAGACAGAATTCCATTCGGTCTTGCTCCCCCGCCCTCTTAGCCAGGAAGTACAGTCATTTATTTACATCTGCCAGAAGAACACTGCCGCTAGCTCACTGCTCAGCGCGGCAACAACAACAACAACACACAGGGCGCCCTCTGACCCCGGAAAGACACACCGTCGCAGCGAGAGGGCGTCACCCGTCACTATGGTAACATAAACAAAACAGAACTGTAAAAACAGAACCCCGAACAGCCCTGACCCGCTACAATATGTAACCACATAAAACCCCTGTTCACCAGTGTTTAACAAAACAAAGGCAAATACTTACCACAGCCAAACAACTGCACTCTGTGCCATCTTCACGGAAAATAACACTTCCGTCTATCATAAACATATGTTTGCCTAAGAAAACTAAATAGTGCCTGATAACTTTTATTCCTTAAATTAAGCGAATCACTTTAATTCTATTTAATGTATTTATTCATTTATTTATAAAGCACATTTAATAACAAGAGTTGACCAAAGTGCTTTACAACATAATAAATAAACAATAAAATTAACATCAATAAGCAAATAAGAAAATTCGAGAAAAAAAAAGGTAACTCTCATGCAGTATAGAAAGCCAAAGAGAAAAAACATGTTTTAAGATGGGATTTAAAAAGTGTGACAGTTGGGGGCTTTCTAATATGAGAGGTAAATCGTTCCACATTTTCAGTGCCACAACCGCAAATGCCCGATCCCCATCTGTTGGAGCTATTTGTTCTTTATTTTTGTTTTTGTTCTTATTTTTGAAATTAGTTAAAGTTTGTTGTTAGTTTACTTATATTTTGGGGTTTATTTGTCGGTTAATATTTTGTTTTAAATGATTTGTTTTGTTTGTTGTTATTTTGTTAAATTAGTCAGTAAGAGCTGTAGGGGCCATTTTGTTTCTATAAATAAAGAGACTGGTATAAGACCAGCATGCATTGGGGTGGGCCTATGGTTTTTTATCAGAGCAGGAGAAGCAGTAGGAAGGATCTTGTTATTGCTAGCCAAAATGGATAAATAAACCAAAACCCTCAACTAAAAGGTTTGGACAATGGACTTCTTTTGCCTGCGTACGAAATATTACCTCAATGCAGCGGTGGCTTGTGGACTTTAAGTTGTGGGACGTTTGATCATTCAAAAGTAAAGGAATTGCCACTACATAAAGTAAAAAACCTTCCCGTGGACAAAGGAATAATCCTTCATTAATGGATATAAGGATTTCAAGGATCACCGTCGAACTCGAATAAAAGTTATTGGATCGTCTGGTGAGTAATCCAGACGGATTTGATGTTGAGGCCTGGATCAACATGTCACTCGTTCATCAAAGCTGGTGAGTAGGGATGGGTATCGTTTAGGTTTTATCCGATACCGGTGCCAAATCGGTACTTTTGAAACGGTGCCGGTGCTCAAACGGTGCTCAAACCGGTGCTTA